CTGCAACAGTCATAAAAGTGAAAAACGGTCGTAAGTCACTTTTTTCAGGGCCGTTGTAATTTTGAACGGTCACTAAATGGACTGTTGTAAGTCAAGGACTGCCTCTATTCAAGAAAGCAATTTCCCACACAAACAAAGCCTCCAGCGTTGCAAGTTCAACTTTTCGTTCAGACTGCTTCTCTTTAGCATCAGACAGCAACCTGTGCGTTTTTAAGATGCTCTTGTAAACAAAGGACATTTTCATTTGCAAATCAGATCCACAGTTTTCATCACAGTCCTTCTGAAGTAAGGAGGGTTTTTTCCACAACACTCGTAGGGTAAGCTGTGTTGATTCCCACTGAAATGACTGGAATGCACAATGTAACCCTGGCCACACAAATTTGTTTAGGTAGAAGTTCTAACAATCCTGACCGAGCCACAGAGGAAGAATGCTTGCTTCTGTTCCATGTCTAGGAAAACCCAAATTATGCAAAATAATAAATTATCCAAATCTTAACAGTAGTTTGAGGAGCACAGTTCTTGTAAATTTTAAATTGATAGCTGGGGAAGGGATATACTTTTTTAGAAGGAGTTCAAATAGCCTTGAGCAAAATCTTCCATTAGGTCTAAAACAGATGAAACTGTGCTATGGACAATGGAACAAATGGGACTACTCGGTTTTTCCTTGCAGCGAGATCTTTCATATCATTTGCTGCACAGCTCTTGTCAGTGAACGAACCTTTGACCTTCTGCCTGCTAAATATGTGCCATTACTGCAGTCCAAATAAATTCTTTCACAGTCATCTGTGGAAGGAAGACATGCCAGCCAGCTGCCGAATGGATATTTGGACACGTTGGAAATCTGCACTCAACAGCATGTCAAATAAAATTTACAAGTGGGCAAAGCCAGTTTTTCTGAAGCAAGAATTTTTTCCCCCTACATTTTCCGACAGTATATTCATGCATTAAGGCAGACATTGTCTTAAAAGAAACTTTTCTTCTGGGTATTACAAAAAGAAAGATAAATCTTTTCTAAAGCGATTTTTTAATAATTATATAATTAAGTAATTAAGCACAGCCTCTCCCATAGAGAACATGTTTAATCTCTCCTAAAGTTAATTTTTATAATTAAATAATTAAATAATGAAGCACTGCCTCTCCCATATAGTACATGTTTAGTCTCTCAAGTTATTTTTATAAATAAATAATTAAGCATTGCCTCTTCAATATGCTAGATGTTAATTGCGAATATTCTCTTTAATCAAAGATACTGCCCTTGAATGTAGCCTACAGAGATTCTTTGAAGTTTTGAGTGGAAGTAACAAAGAAATCCTATTCTTAACCTTGCTACATATAGTATGATAGCAATGGCACTTAGACTTATATGACGCTTCACAGTGCTTTACAGCCTCTCTAAGCAATTTTACAGAGTCAGCATATGGCCCCCAACAATCTGGGTTCTCATTTTACCGACCTTGGAAGGATGGAAGGCTGAGTCAATCTTGAGCCAGTCAGGATTGAACTCCTGGCAGTTGGCAGAATAGCTGAAGTGCTATTGGCATTGATTTGATTGATTGACTGATTGATTGATTATTCACTATCAAGTTGGTATCAACTCTTAGTGATTGCATAGATAGCTTGGTTGTTTTCTTGCAGACATTGCATACCCAAACTAGGCAACAACATCAGTGCACTGACTATGTTACCTAGTTTGGGTAATGAAACATCTGCAAGAAAACAACCAAGTTCAGAGAGCACCAAGGACCCCTCATGTCAACATTGAGCTACAAATATTCTCCTCTATCAGTAGTTTTATTTCTTGATGATCTGCCCCTGACTTGGTCCTTCAGGTCTTCAAAAAGTCCATCCCTTGCCAGTTTAATTTGAGTCCATCCAATTTGCTGCTGATTATCCAATTCTTCTCTTTTCTTCCATTCTTGCCATATTAGAGCCATCTCCAGAGACCTCACATATTATATCCAAAATAAGATAATTTGAGTCCGGTTATTTGTGCCTCAAGTGAGAACTCTTGATTTATTTTTTTGATGATCCATTTGTTTATTTTCTTGATTATCCATGATATTATCAGGAATCTTCCCCAATACCAAAGTTCAAAAGCCTCAATATTTGTTGCTTCCACTGAGTGTAATAAGGAATACCATTGCTTGCTTACCTTTAAGTACGGTAAGTATCTTTAAGTACAGACATATCATAGCATCTAAACATTTTTTTCAAAGCCATCATGACTGTTGTACCAAGTGCTAGTTATGGCATATTTCCTGACTCCTTATTCTTTTATTGCTGATAGCTGATCCTAAAAAGTGGAAGGTATCTATCATTTTCATATTTCACTGTCAGTTCCAAAACTGGCTATTGAGCCTGTTGTCATTAGTTTGGTCTTCTTTATATTTAATTTTAATCCTATTTATTTGCTTCTTGATTTGTATAGCTAGTTTGCAGATGCTTTGCATTTTCAACTATTAGAATAGAATAGAATAGAATAGAATAGAATAGAATAGAATAGAATAGAATAGAATAGAACAGTGATGGCGAACCTTTTGGAGACCGAGTGCCCAAACTACAACCCAAAACCCACTTATGCATCGTCGGGTGCCGGGTGGGTGTGGCCCATTGGCTGGGCGTGGCCCATTGGATGGGTGTGGCTGCGGTGGTAATGGCAGATTGGGTGGGACTAAAAAGTTCAATCAATCAATTCCAACTTTGCAAGAACTTTTTTTCCCGCAAGAAGTTGAAATTGACTGATTGATTGAACCTTTTTTTTTTTTGTACATGGCGGCGGAGGCCTAAAGCAAAAAGGTTTTATAAAACCCAGCTGAAGGCCTAGGACTGGGGTGAAGCTGTGCATGCCCACAGAGAGGGCTCTGAGTGCCGCCTCTGGCACCCATGCCATAGATTCGCCACCACTGGAATAGAATAGAATAGAATAGAATAGAATAGAATAGAATAGAATAGAATAGAATAGAATAGAAGTTTCTTTACACAATGCAAGTTATTGATGTTTCTTCCTCCAATTTTAAAACCATGTTCCTCTTCTTCCGATCCAGCTTTCCTTAATATATATTCATCATATAGGTTGTATAAATAAGGGGAGACTATACAACCATGTCTCATTCCTTTGCCAACCTGGAGCTAGTCTCTTCCATCATGTTCTGTTTCTGCTCTGGCTTCTTGATTTATTTTTAGATTTTACATGAGGACAATGAAATAACTTAAGATTCCCAAGCACATTCCCAAGTAGAATGTGAGTCTAAGTACATTCCACAGTTTGACATAATTATAATACAATCAAAGGCATTTCTATAATCAACGAAGCACACAGTGACTTCTTTCTATTGTTCTTTGGCTTTTTCAATTATTCAATTGAGAATTATGTCTCATGTTCCTTGGCATTTTATAAACCAAATTTGAATGTCTATTGTCTGGGTCCGAATCTGTGTTGGATGATCCTAAATCTTATTTCGTTAGTGTATGAAACAAAGAATACTATATGGTGGTTGACACATTCTGTTAACTCTCCTTTTTGGATATTAGAATATTGATTGACCTCCAATCTTTTGGCTATTGTGTTGTTCTCCAAATTTACAGGAATAGCTAAGCTAGAATCTTTACTCATTCTTCTGTTGCTGGCCATATTTCAGTGAGCCTTCCATCAGCTCCTGCAGATGACTCAGTAAATTGGACTGCTGATTTAATTTCATCTTCTAATAGTAGAGGTTCTTGAAAGTAGGGAAGATCTTCTAAAGTATCTTGGATGTTGACATCTCTACTGACAGTATTTCAGTATACATCTTCCATCTTTGATATTTTTTGAATTAGCTGTTTGTCTATTGACTTCCTTTAGGTTGAGGTTGGAATCTTCTTCTAGTTTCAGAAATCTTTTGGAACACTTCCTTTTGTTCCATATCTGTTTCCATCTTCGAAGTCTTCACAAATGTTGTTGTAATACTTCTACTTGTATCTTCTAACAACCCTCTGAAATACTTCATTAAGTTCCTTTCTGAGACTTTTAGCCTTCTTGGCTTTAACTTCTCTACTTGGTCATTTCCATGATAGGTTCTGCCATCGATTTCTTCTATTTCTTCATCTTAGGCAATCTGCTTTCACATTCATCCTTAATGACTTCTTTGGATTCTGGTTCTCTAGCAATGAGATTCGGGACTTCAAATCCATTTCTGATGTTCTGCTTGAACATGATGGGTATATGCCCAAGGTCATACTATAGAAACAACCTCCTCCTCCTCCCCCCTCCCTCTCCCTCTTCATCCACATAAGCAATTTGTCATCTGTCCTACAATCAGCACCTATGTCTGTGGTGCTGTATCTGAGATCCTTTACTTCAGACATGTCAAACACAAGGCCCGGGGGCCGGATGCGGCCCGTGAAGTGGTTTCATGTGGCCCGCGAAGCCATCCTGGAAACAGTGAGGGAACGGCCCCCGCTGTCTTGGCCCTGGCCCAGGCTGGCCGGGAGCCAATGTACAATTTTGTGGTGGCCATCTATGCTGAAACGCATTCAGTCTTAGCTCCACAAGGCCGTCTAGAAACAGCGAGGAACCAGCCCCTGCCGCGTTGGCCCCACCCCCTGGGTGCATGCTGGGGAGGTGTCACCCTTTGTGAGGAATGAAGAAATGGACCATGCCTTGGCGCTTGCCCCGGTCCCACCCCCTTCTGCCAGACACCCTCAGATCTGCCCCACTCCTGCCCAGGCCCCCACAGGCACCCTTGACGCGCCCACCCAGTAGGCCACACCCACCCAGCCCCCCCCCGAGGGCAACCGCAATGCTGATGCGGCCCTCAATGAAATTGAGTTTGACACCCCTGCTTTACTTCCTTTTAGAAATACACACCCACCAAGACATATACATACATATATATCCAGACATACATACTACCTCTTTCTGAAATGCTGTTGGCATAATACATTACCACCAACAAGAGCATCAATCAATATCAGTTTAAAATTAACACAACCAGAAGAAAAAAAAGCCATTGTAAGATTACCTTCCATTGCTCTTTTGAAGAAGACTTTGCAGCTTCCACAAGTGAGGACACCATAGTGGCACCCAGAAGCTTCATCACCACAGATAAGGCAGATCTTCTGGGGCAAAGGTTCAAACCCATACTGAGGGCTCTGACCAGCTTCAGGATCAGACCTAAACCAAGTAGACAAAAATAAGAAACCGAAAGTTAAGAGGGAAGCAGCAGCAAATCTTAATCTACAAAGGACACTCAAATCCTGCGGGGTTTAGAAAAACCAGAATATATACTGTGCTTGATAAATAAGACAGATTTTTTTCCAAAGAGTTATGAATACAAGTCAGCCCTCTTAGATTGCAGGACAGGTTTAATAGCTCTTGTGTAGTGGCCTGTCTCTTGTAAATGCTCACCTGCTTCCATCCATGACACCTAAGGGGTGGGAGATCCGGTTATGGGCAAATTAAAGCCTTGCCCTCCCCAAAAGATGTACATTTTTTTAAATAAATGACAGAATAAACACTACTAGCATTAGAACTGTCTGGACATTTTTCTAAGGGCATGCTTGAACATCCAAGAATTCAGTTCAAAATTCCCCCCACTTGCATTTCATGAAAACATCACCTTTTATTAAGAAGGGGACCCTACAACAAAACTCAGAAGAAGCACATCCTCCTCTCATGGAAGGAAGTCTCCAGCTCAGGGGTTCCAATGAGGAAGTCAAGAGCAAAATGACTCAGTTGAGCAGCAACAGAATATTCCATCCCTACAGATTTACTCAGTCTTTTCTCCCAGTTCCTGGGCTCATTGTCAGTAAACAGGCCTGAAAAAAAGCAGGTTAGGCTTCAGATCCTCCCTCAGAACCATCTCTTTGCAAACTAGGATAAAAAAAACAATTGAATAAATCAACTCCCATGTCCAACTTTGATATGCATTTTTTTAAAAAAAAAAAAACCTCATTCGAATATTCTACCTGCTAGCATCGTAGAGCAATATTCCTTTAAAACAAAAAGATGGAAATGTGCAAAATACATTTTAAAACCTAACATAAGATCCAGCTGGAGGAAGAACACTAACATGAGAGTGAAGTGGAGCTGAGCTCACAGTAAATTATGACCAGCTAATCTGCAGCAACTTCTGGAGTGTTATTTATTTCCCAGAACTCAGTCACCTCTCTTCAGCACTGGGAAATAAATCACTTCTTTTCATTGCTGGCACGGATAGCAGAGGAAGAGAGAATTATTGGATGAGAGGAAGGTCCCTATTTGGAAAAAAAAGGCAATCAAATTGGATCATTCAGAGGCTAAACAAAAACTGTTTAAGGGAAGCTAAGCAGAGCCAGTCCTGGTTAGTTCTTGGATGGGAGACATCGGATAATTTAAAGATTGAAGGTGAGGTCAAAAATCTTCTCAGAAGAAATGCAAACCACTTCCACGTTATTGCCATAGAAATTGCATGGACAAACCCATGAAGAGCTCAAACACAGCTCAAGGGAGTTTTTAGCTTTATTGGTTTTAGGCGTTTCCGGTTTAATTTTGCACCCAGCATAGTTCCATTCAATCTCCAATATCCAGATCAGGATAAATGCACAGCCCACTCAGTTCAGCTGGTATAAAAATGCCACTTGATGTTCCTTTATCAATCATCAAAAGAGTGTATTAGCAAAAGTAGAAAAGGCTGGGGAAAGCAAAGAAAAAAAATCATGAACAACAGACAAGAATGAATAGCTCATCCATCCATTTATCCATCTATTGATCTATTCTAGACTGAAAGACATAGAACTTTCCAATACCACTGGAAACAATACTGTAGGTCAGTGGTGGCGAACCTATGACACGGGTGCCAGAGGCGGCACTCAGAGCCCTCTCTGTGGGCACGTGCGCCGTCGCCCCAGTCCTAGGCCTTCAGCTGGGTTTTATAAAACCTTTTCGCTTTAGGCCTCCGCTGCCGTGTAAAAAAAAAAGGTTCAATCTATCAGTCAATTTCAACTTCTCGCGGGGAAAAAACGAGATCTTGCAAAGTTGGAATTGATTGATTGAACTTTTTAGTCCCACCCAGTCTGCCGTTACCACTGCAGCCACGCCCATCCAATGGGCCCCGCCCACCCGATGGGCCACACCCAGCCAATGGGCCACACCCACCCGGCACCCGACGATGCATAAGTGGGTTTTGGGTTGCAGTTTGGGCACTCGGTCTCTAAAAGGTTCGCCATCACTGCTGTAGGTAATTAACATGGACAATTCCAGAGGAAGTGTCCTCTGGTTTTCCACCTTTTAACCCTTTCAAGTACATAACAGCAGCAGAATCAGCATGCAAAGCAGGACACCAGGTGATCCCTCCTCCAAAGTGCACCATTAAATAAAAAAAAAATGGGTGGGTGAGTGGGAGGGAATGATATAGCTCAGGGGTCTTCAAATTTGGCTCTTTTATGACTTGTGGACTTCAACTCCCAGAATTTCTCAGCCAGCATGGAAGCCCATATGTCAAAAAAGGGCCAAGTTTGAAGACCCCTGATGTAGCTAATACTTGACAGCAAAAAAAAAGACAAAAACAAAAAAAAAATCCTGCTTAGAGAGGAATGAGGAGCCTTACTGAGAGAAAAGTGATTTAGAAGGATTCAAATGTAAGAATATAGGTACAACCATTCATTTAGCAACCGTTCAAAGTTACAACAGCACTAAAAAAAAAAGGTGATTTGCAATCGGTCCTCATACCTCACAGTATCCCCATGGTCTAAAATCATAATTTGGGTGCTTGGCAACCAGCCTGTATTTATGAATGGTTGCAGAATCCTGGGGGTCATGTGATCATCACTTGTGATCTTCCCAGCCTTCTGACAAGCAAAATCAATGGCTGAATTCGCTTAACAACCCACACGATTCACTTAATAACTGCAGTGATTTGTTTAATATTTTTTTGTGTGGTAAAAATGGTCATAAAACCAGGTGTGACTCACTTAACATTTGCCTTGCGTAGTAACAGAAATTCTGATCTCAACTGTGGTCATAAATCCAGGAGTACCTACATGGTCCTCAAGCAAGCATGGCAGGCAGCCTTTAGTTGTCTCCACCCAACCAACATAGTGGAGTTTCTATGTTGAGAACAAGCAAAGATCTACCTTGTTTTCACTTCATCTCCCCACCCCCCACCCCCCACCCCAAAGACACACATATAAGGAGGAGAATCAAGCATTATGTACCACTTCTAAACTGCATTTAGTCTTAAGGATATCTTAATTAAAATAAAGCTGGGATGAAATATTTGCAATTTTTCAAAAGCACTTCACCCATGAAAAGATTTCTGCTGGTTTAATTTTTAATTCTCTGGATTTTTATTTTTATTTTTATTGTCCGTGTTTCCTGTTCTGCCTGTTACCAAGCTTCAAATCTTAAAAAGCCCAATGGAAGAAATTCTTTCCTGGTGTCTTTCCTGTGATGGATACAGAGAAAGCCAGAGAAGCTGTAACCATTTGGGAGACAATTGCATTAAGGAAAAACAGGAGTTTCATCCATATCGCTCGGCCAACGTGTAAGGATCTTCACAGCCATTCCCTTCTCCTTTGAAAGATTTTACAAAAGCAAATTCAAATGGATCCAGTTTAACAAGAATAGTGCAGGGAGACTGCAAGATGAGCATAACTGCTCAAACTGAAACACCATGCATTGAGGTTGCCTTGGTTCAAACCTTGGTTTATCATACTATCAAAAGTTCTTTGCAGTCTGGAAATGCACAAAATGCTGTGGCTCCCTTAGAAACATAATTACACACAAGATTGTGACGTATTTTCTAATCCTCAACTGCACATGGGAACAGCACTATGATTCTGCCTTCCAAGTATTCCAACAGAAAAGTAAAATTTAAAGAAAATTGGAGATAGATCTCACATCCTCTTAAAAACTGCTTTTTTCTCCTCCCCCCAAAATGGTACAAATAAGTACAACTCCAATAAGTAGTAGTAGTAGTAGTAGGTCCGTCCCTTCTTTAATAGCCTACCTATGGTTGTGTACTTTTCTCTTAAGTGATAAAAGATACTAGGTACTTTTTTTATTGGAAGAGGTTTATTTGGAAACATTTAATCCATAGTTCTGAACAATCTTAAATTCATTTCTGAATTATATTCTGGTCTTCTAACATATGAGTGTGAAAATAATGTTTTCTTGAAACTACATGAATGTATGTTTCAAAATGAAAATTTTAGAGTATCATTTAGGAGTTATCAGAGGAAATTTATCCGCGATGGCTGGGCCTCTGATGATATTTTCCTAACCAAAGCTGCTGCATGAACTATCAACCCCCATCCACCATCAAATCTCACCTTGATGGCTTTGTTTTATGCGAAACAAAAAACGCCACATGATTCCACATCTCAAATGTTTCCATCAACACATCCAGTAGCTGGAGTAAGTTTCACCTCTGAATTGATGTCACACCAGATAGATCTAGTAAATCTATGTCACTTACTTCCGAAGCAAAAATTTCAGTTTCCTATCAGTATGTCTAGTTCTGTGCATCTATCAGATTTTAACTAGGAGAAAGACCTACTTAAAAATCTGGTGCATAGTTATCAGTCTTTAACAGAGGTTACAGTTGCTTATACTGCATAGTGTAAAGAATGATCACCCATAAACAGAGAGTGTCATAAAAACTCTGCAAACTGTCAGGGAGCTACATTTATTTTTAAGTATGGTTTAGGAGAAACCGCTTATATTTCTTTCGTAAGACACAGTTATCTGTCTGCCAGCTGTTCATATTTTTTCAGCGTTGTTAGTATTATAGAAGCTTGACTGATAATAAGTAAAAACAAATTTTGACACTTAACATCAATGAATATAATGAGATTTCTTAATAGAAAATTTGTAAGGAAGAATGGAATAGGGAAAAGGATTTGCACATTTATCCTTTAGTACAGGGGTCTTCATACTTGGCCCTTTTATGACTTGTGGACTTCAACTCCCAGAATTTTCTGGGAGTTGAAGTTCACAAGTCATAAAAGGGCCAAGTTTGAAGACCCCTGCTTTAGTATATATCAAAACTGCCCTTTTTGCAGGATGACATCTGGTTCTCTCTTGCCTAGTCTATTTTATTCTCACAACAACCTTTTTAATTATATTATCTTTTAATTTTGGGTCACAGAGCAAAGGACTATGTGAAAAATAGGAACAGTCCATGTGAATTTAATTTATCCCAATGCTAGTCCAAAAGGCAAATTATAATGGCTATCAATTCAATATTTTAAACTCTGCTGTTGAACAAAACTTTCAACAAGTATCAATAAGACCAAAAGTTTTTTTTTTTAAAAAAAAGAGGAAATCAGATAACAAACAGCTGTAACTGACATTCCCATGCTGAAAATGGAAATGGTTTTGCAGAATACCGAGTTGTCATGACCATGAATTATAGCTATTAGTCAAAGTGCATTTAATCATTAACAACCACAGCCTACTTTTGTTCATTCAAAAACAAGTCCTACAATGGAGCTATAGCCTTAAGCAACTAAAATGAACAACCAGATAACCATTATTATTCATAAGACACCTCTTGAAGTCTTATTCCAGACTTCTTAACATAGAATAACAGAGTTGGAAGGGACCTTGGAGGTCATCTAGTCCAACCTCCTGGTCAAGCAGGAGACCCTATGCCAGTTCCAAATAAGTGGCTGTCCAGTCTCTTCTTGCAAGCCTCCAGTGTTGGAGCACCCACAATTTCTGAAAGCAAACCATTCCACTAGTTCCGGGGTCTTCAAACTTGGCCCTTTTATGACTTGTGGACTTCAACTCCCAGAATTCCTCAGCCAGGCACGCATGCCTGGCTGAGGAATTCTGGGAGTTGAAGTCCACAAGTCATAAAAGGGCCAAGTTTGAAGACCCCGGAACTAGTTAATTGTTCTCACTATTAGGAAGTTTCTCCTTAGTTCTAGGTTGCTTCTCTCCTTGATTAGTTTCCATCCGTTGGTTCTTGTCTTGCCTTCTGGTGCTTTAGAAAATAAGGTGACCCCCTCATCTTTGTGGCAGCCCCCTTTTCAATCTGAAGCTCTCCAGATAAGCTAGGACTAAATATTTAAAAATTCAGAGAAATGGAAAAAGGCCACTTGGAATATACTTAAGTGGTAAAACCAAAGGGCTTGTTATGATCCATACTTTAATAATGGTTCATAGTTGTCAACTACTGTAGTCCTGCTCCACTGAGCAGCTTTAATATTTTACCAACCTTCTCCAACCTGGTATCTTTCAAGGGGTGCCAGATGACAACTTCTCTAACTTCCCAGAACGAGGAAGATGGGACTTGTAGTCCAACAATAATGGAAAGCCATGTCAGGAACATTAATTGGGAGATAAGACATTCTAGTAAAATTACAACAGTCTAACAGGAGAATGCACTATGGACACAGCAGATGGCAGCATTCAGCAGATCCTGTCTGATTTTCTAGGGAACTATAGCAGTGGCTAAGATGGTGAACTAGAAACCACGTGATCCTGAGTTCAAGTCCCACCTGAAAGCCAGCTGAGAGACTTTAGGCCAGTCACTCTCTCTCAGCCCAACCCACCTCACAGAGTTGTTGTCATGGGGAATATAGGAAGAAATATTAGGTATGTCCTCTTGAGTTACTTATAAACCTGAAGCTGGGATGCAAATCTAATGAGCAGAATAAATAAATGAACTAAGCATGGTCAGATCTTATTAGTCTAAGCACAGGACATCACTAGGAAAGGATGAAGGCTGGACTGGGAAGTGGATAAACCTCTAGAAGGCAGTGTAATTTTTGCCAAGGACACCCTGTGGATATGCCCACCAAAAGTCAAGCTGACCATGATGAAAACCTAGCCACTGTTTTTTTTAAAAAAAGCTATTTTTAAACTATTCTGATGTTGAAGTGTCGCAATGTGTGCGCGCACAGACATGCAAGGCTGAAAGTGCTGGACTCTTTTTCTTAGCTTTGTTTACAGATTTGCCAGATTTTTTCAAACACATCCCAGAGACACGATTTGTCGATCTGTTATTTCTGATTAATAATGGTGATATGTACCCTTCAGTCATTTTCAGCTCTTAGTGACTATATCGATAGATCCATATTCTTTCTAGACTGACTCAGCCACTAGACTTTGAAAGCGACCAGGGGCAGGGGAGCAAACGGATCCAGACCCAAGATTAACTTGCCTTCTGAAGTTGTGGGTGCTCCAACACCGGAGGCTTTTAAGAAGGGAACTGGACAACCATTTGTCCAAAATGGTATAGGGTCTCCAGCTTGAGCAGGGGGTTGGACTAGAAGACCTCCAAGGTCCCTTCCAACTGTTATGCTGTTAATTATAGGCACAGGGGAGCCTCATTATTACCTTCCCCACATACTGGTAACCCATCAAAATAAAAGCAACTTCCTCCTGGGGCAGGGGGCTTCCAAAGGGCAGAACGACCCCCTCCTCTAAATATTATTTGTTTATGGTTCGCCACAACTTGACAGGTGCCGGCCATGCTGACAGGCCATCTTGGGAAAAGCAGGGCCGTGCAATACTACAATTCACGGAAGCCTCTTTGAGCCAGGGTGGGCGAAGGACCCCCGCTTACCTTAGGTAGCCCAAGTAAGGCGAATAGAACGGCTGCTGGCTGTGAAAGGCGAGCGGCTGGTACAGGGCTTGAGGCGGGGCGCCCGAGGTAGAGGGCAAAGACAGAGCCTCCCTCTGCGCTATGGAGCTGGCGGAGGCTTTGTAAGGCGCTAGTCCGTAAGAGCCCGGGAGGGCGCCGACAGCCGCCGCCGCCACCTCCGCCTTGTAGAGAACGCACTCCAGGGTCGACGAGGGGGGCGCAGCGGCGGCGGCGGCTTCCGGGCCGCTCATGCTACTCTTGGGCAGCGAAGCGGCGGCGATCGGCGGAGCGTAGTCCGGGCAGGGCGCCGGGGCGGCCGGCAAGGTGCCCAAGTGCGCCCCGCCGTCGCTGCTGTTTTTGGCCACGGCGGCCGCCAGGCTCTCCTCTTTGATTTTGAAGCTGGGCTGAAAGTCCCCGCCGGAGCCCAGGAGGTAAAGCGGCGGCGGAGGCGGCGGCAGCGGCAGCAGGGCCGGCGGCGGGTGCCCGTCTCGGGGCGGGTAGACGAAGTTAGCGAAGTCCTGGAGGTTGCAGGGGGCGGGCGAGGAAGCGGCGTTTGGGTGCCCGCAGAAGGGGCTCCAGTCCTGGGACTCCTCCACGTCCAGCAGCTGCCGCGTCCGGGCGGCTAAGTAGGCCGGGTTGAGAGGCAGGATGGGCACGTTGAGGAAGTCGGAGCAGCTGGAGGGGGCGGCCAGGGGGGAGCGTCCCGCGGCTGAAGTCGGCGGGAGCTTGCAAGAGAGGGAAGAGGAGGAGGAGGAGGAAGAGGAGAAGGAGGCCGCTACCGCGCGGCCAGCCCCGGGGAGCAGCTCTCCCTCGGCCGAGCCCGGAGGCTGCTGCGCTCCTTTGGGCAGCGTCGAGGCTGCGGGGGCTGGGGCCCTGCCCCTCGGGCTCTTAAAAGGAGCTCCCTCCGCATCTTTAGCCGCCTTCCAAAGGGAAGGAGAGGCGGTGGCCGTGGGAGAAAGAGGCGGAGGCGGCAGGGAAGCGGCGTCTGCGGGCGCGCCCTCTTCTTTGCCGTCGAGGGAGCGCCGGTTGGGGAGCCCAGCGGTCAACTCGGGGATCTCCGAGCCGAAGAAAGACGACCAGGCCGCCGAGGGGCTGTCCGAGTGACTGGAGGCCGAGGTCAGAAAGGTATCCAGGACCCGGTCCAGGGCGTCTTTGCCCGACGGCAACCCGGAACTTTCCTGGACCAAGGAGGAGCCAGGTAGCTGTTCGTGCTCCTTGAGACACGCGTTTTCTTCCTCTTCCTGGTCTTCTTCTTCTTCTTCTTCCTCCTCCTCCTCCTCCTCGTCTTCGCTGCTTCTGGCATACAGAAGCCCGTCCAGGGTCAGATCGATCGCCTCGACTCTCTCCCTTCCAGCAAAAGGATCCCGACCGGATGGGTGAGGAGGTACTAGGAGGACTGACCCATCCTGGGTGGAAGAGGTGGAGGCAGCAGAGGGATCCCTGGTCACTGCCTTGGTTTTCATCTTCCCTGGCACACCCCGAAAGTTTCGCGAAGGCGGCGGACCGCACACCTGAGTAGCGAGCCGCGGACCTAAAGTTCGACGGGACGGGCGCTGCGCAGCCTCTGCACCACTTCGAAATCCTTCGGTTCGTCACATCCTCAGAACCAACGGGGGCTCTGCGCGCGTGTGTGTGTGCGTGCGCGCGCGCGCGCGTGCTGGGCAGGCGGGCAGCCTCGTTGCTCGGCTATTCCACTTGGATCGTGTTTCACGTGGAAAGAAAGTTGCTGGATTAGAAAGGCTTCAAGCGTGTTTGGCTCGCCACCGCCACTCCATGCTGGGCTGGCGCTGTCCGCTCCCAGAGTCAGCCCGTCCCGGGTGCAGAGAGTCCCGCAGACAACTCGGAAGGAGGCTTCGGGGCCGGCACCTGTTCGGCTTCCCCAGGGGGGAAAAAAAGGCACCTGCGCGGCAACCCAGCACCCAACTCGACGGCGTTGGCTTATGCCGCAAACTTTCTTCTAAGGCGTTGAGCTCCGCCCGTCCCTCCGGCAGCGGCCGCTCTTCTTGCTGGAAACGGAGGAGGCGCTTCCTTCAGTCCCAGACGGCTCCCTAAGTCGCCCCGAGCTCGGCGCCCTGTGCAGGATGAGCGCCTGACTGAATGAGAAAGGCGAGAAGAGTAAAGCAGTGGTTGAAAGTCCAGCCAACCTGCCTGCCTGAATCCGGAACCCGCGCTCTGTGCTGCCCCCTGGCGGCCAACGCCTGCTCCCGGCAGAACTTGGGAAACGCGGCTGCGGAGGGAGCTGACTGTCCGGGCGCCCTTCGGCTCCGCCTATTTTCTCTGATTCCTCCGCCGCCTCTAATCACTAGCCACGTCTCCCCTTCTTTGCATCTTTTTTTTTTTCTTCCAGATTTGGGAGGGGGGGGAGGAAGAGGGACACAGGCTGCAACTTTAGCAAAGTCAGAAAAAGCGAAGGGGTGGATAATGCAAAGGTGCAGATGTGTAGGTAGCCCCAGTGGGCGAGGCTGTTGCTCTGGCTTGTTCTGAGATGGAGGGATAGTGACCCATCGCTACCAGCAGATAGATTAAGCAATCGGGCAGATTGGGCGAGCGGGGTGGGGTGGGTGGGAGGATTAATCCCCTTGGGGACTGCCCCACTGCTTCTTTCCCTCCCCCAGGCACAGTGCTGAGAAAGGCCAGGAGGATCTACAGCAGTTCATCAACCTTGCTCACACCTGACATGCCACAGTTACTTTTTTTTTTTCCAGATGTGTCCCCATAATAGAGCCGTCTTCTTATCGCCACCTTTAAACCTAAAGCAGTAGGCAGTCCTTGTGACCACGACTGAGCCCAAAATTTCTGTTATTAAGCGAGACATTTGTTAAGTGAGTTTTTCCCCGTTTTACGACCTTTCTTGCCACCCTTGCTCAGTGAATCACTGCAGTTGTCAAGTTAGTAACACGGTTGTTAAGTGAATCTGGCTTCCCCATTGCCTTGGCTTGTCAGAAGGTTGCAAAGGTGATCATGTGACCCCCCGGGACGTTGCAATGGTCATAAATGTGAGTCAGTTTGTCTAGCACCTGAATTTTGATCACGTGACCCTGGGGACGCTGCAATGGCCATAAGTGTGAAAAAGGGTCATAAGTCACTTTTTTCAGTGTCGTTGTAACTTTGAACAATCACTAAATGAACTGTTGTTAAGTCAGGGACTAGCTGTATTTCTCCAAGTCCTGGCAACTTTAAGAGGTGTGGGCTTCAACTCTCAGAAACCGTGGTGCTACAGCAGGGGTGTCAAACTCAATTTCACTGAGGGCTGCATCAGCATTGCGGTTGCCCTGGGGGGGCTGGGTGTGTGTGGCCAAAATGAGTGCAGCCTACTGGGTGGGCGTGGCCAGTTCTACATCATTCGCATCAAGGGTGTGTATGGGTGCCTGGGACAGATCTGAGGGTCTCTGGCAGAAGGGGGTGGGACCGGGAAAAATGCCAAGATGGCCACCACAAAATTATACATTGGCTCCCTCCCGGATGGCCTGGGACAGGGCCAAGGCAGCGGGGGCCGTTCCCTCACTGTTTCCAGGATGGCTTCGTGGGCCACATGAAACCACTTCACGGGCCACATCCGGCCCCCGGGCCTTGTGTTTGACATGTCTGTGCTAGAGCTTATTGTGGTATTTTCCATGGACAGCCTCAAGGTGTACAAAAACTCCTGGGAGGTGCTTGAGAACAGGGGCAAATAGAGGCAGGACAGTCACCACCACAACGCAGCAGCAAATTTCATGCTGGGGTAGTTATCCACAGACAGGAATATATGTGAAGAGCACCTCAGCTCAGACAAAGAAGATAATTTTACTTATTGGGGTGCTGTTAAAGGCTGGGCTAGCAAATATTAATCCCAAGGTCCATTTTGCCTATTTTGTGGGCTCCTGTTGGGGCTGCCAGAGTCGGCCCCCATTTGCCAGGCCTTGGCAGTGCTAAGCCCAAGTGATGTGAATTGTTCCCTCCTTCACATCACTCTGCATCCCTGGTGCAACTGACCCATCATAGACATGCAAAGCTGAACAGAAATCCCTCAGTGATCCTTGCCGTTTGTAAATGGTCCATCCAGCTTTTTCTGAACGTGGCCGTCACATTCTAAATCTGGGTCTACAAGTACAAGCAGTCCTCAATTCACGACCACAGTTTCCATTGCTAAGCAAGGCGGTTAAGTGAGTTTTGCTCCGTTTTGCAACCTTTTTTCCTGCCACCGTTGTTAAATGAAGTACTGCAGTTGTTTAAGTGAATCTTAACGGTTGTTAAGTGAATCTGTCTTTCCCCCATTGACTTTACTTGTGGGAAGCCGGCTGGGAAGGTTACAAATGGTGGCCACATGACCCCAGGACAATGCAGCTGTCATACATACGTGCCATTTGCCAAGTGCCCAGATTTTGATTCACTTGACCATGGGGATGCCACAACGGTCATATGGGTGAAACCAGTCAGAAGGCACTTTTTTTCAATACCGTTGTAATTTCAGTCACTAAACAAAATAGCTGTAAGTTGAGGACTACCTGAAGCTCAACTGCCCAGGTTTCAAGTGCATGGAAGAGGTGTAAAATGAAGTGGAAGAGAATTCTTCCATGCTGGCTGCCAAGTCTCCTGGTGTCTCACTGTCCATCTCCATGTCCCATCAGCCAGGCTATTTTTAGATCCAGGCTATTGCTAGACTCAGGTTCAGAGACGGTTCAGAGACGGCCCGCCTGACAGTTCACAGAGAAAGAGAGCAGTTGGGACCTGTCACTCAAGCGATGCGTCATTCCAGACACCAAACAAGCCTTGGCAGGTCCACCCTACTTCATAATAACGAAGCAATTGGTGGGACTTCCCCCCCCCCCCTTTGCCATTGCCAGCAGTGCTGTTGAAGATAGGGAAAACAAAATTGGGAGACTCTACCAGTTACTTTTGTAACTTCCCCTATTTTACTTTACAGTGTAGCAAAACTGCAGCATGGCATGTTAAATGTGAAAAAAGGTTGTTTTTTTTATTATTGTTAGATGTCCTAAAGTTGCTTTATTGATCCACAGGAGCTAAACTTGTTTTTATATATATATATTAAAAAAACTGCTCTAAACTCTCTCTCCCGCCTTCTTGCTTTTCTGGGACCTTCTGCTCTGCTTTCCAACAGGGTTTGTTTTCTCAGTGGCATTTTTGGAGAAAGACTGCAGAACTGACTTTGATCAAATGCAGAGTATTTTCTGCCCCACTGTCATCTCTGAGGTTTTGTAACTAATAAGGTTAGTTGTAAAAGTTTGGAACTCCAAATAAACAATGCTATTAAATACATTTTGATGTGGCTCTAGTAACTGGTTGAGTAGCGCCTGTTTCACACAGATCTTCTCTACCTTTTCAACAATGTTATTTGATACATGTAGAATGGCCTATGTTTATAGGTAAATAAGAGCTTTCCAAATTGCATGTGTCTTTTTCTCTTTGGGGGTGGTATTGCTAAGTAAAGTGGAATGGCTCTTTTCAAGGTATGTTTGATTCTCCAGGGATCGACCCTAGGCTTCTTCGTGCAAGAAGACGTCCAGTTGCTGTTTTAGCCGCACTTTCCCATAAGTGCTCACAATAAGCCTTATTTCATTGCATGTACCAACAGCTGTGATGTCAAGCATAGAAATCAGGAAACTCAGGCAGTTCAAATGAATGTAAGGATTTATTGCCAGCTGAAGCTCTGTACAAGAATCGGAACTACTAACCGTCAAAGCAAATTGGTGGTAGGTAAGAGTCAATGGAATTCAAGGTGGGCTGGACTTCGATCTCTTGTGGGTGCAAAGGGACTCGAAACTGATGACGCGTTTGACCCCTCCCTCAGCCTGGTTATCTCCTACATGTGACACCATTCACTGCCTCAGTCCCTGCCTTCCCAGGAACTCAGCTAGTATAGGTAGTCCTTGACTTACGACCACAATTGAGCCCCAAAATTCTGTTGCTAAGTAAGAGAGTTGTTAAGCAAATTTTGCCCCATTTTACAATGTTTCTTGACACAGATGTTAAGTGAATCACTGTAGTTATTAGGTTAGTACCACAGTTGTCAAGTGAATCTGGTCCCCCCTTGACTTTGCTTGTCAGAAGGTTGCAAAAGGGGATCAAATCTCTGGGACACTGCAACCACCATAAGTATGAGTCAGTTGCCAAGCATCTGAATTTTGATCACGTGACCATGGGGAAGCTGCAACAGTCGTAAGTGTGAAAAATGGTCATAAGTCACTTTTTTCAGTGCCATTGTAGCTTTCAACTAAATTGTTGTTGTTAGTTACGAAGTAATATCTGACCCATCGCGACCCCATGGACAATGTTCT